CTGTGGATGGAAGGATTTGCCTTTGTGGGCACCTGTCTCAGCTGCCCTGGGGGAGTTTGGCAGGATGAACGCTAACCTTGATATGAGCAGGGGGCAGCCTGCGGGGCCACAGGTTAGGCAGGTGTCAGGGCGCCCCTGTCAGTGTGTGTGTGTGTGTGTGTGTGTGTGTGTCTAGAGCTCATCTTGTCAGTTGTTTTTCACAATCATAAGCTTGAAAAACCAAATGATGCCAAATGAATTTTCTTTGGTTCCAGAATAGAACACTAACCTGGATAAGCCCCCCTATTTTACAGAAAATCCCACCCAAAGGGCACAGACGGCCTGCTCAAGCTCACCAGTGAGCTAAGGAAAGGGAGGAACTCTCAGATTCTGGGCACGGCACATTCCTAGCACCCCGCTGGTCAAAGGCGCTTTATGGCCCCTCCTTTTATGGCAGAATGAAGTAAACCATCTTAGCAGCATTTAAGTCTCTCCACACTCTCACTCCAACCCCTCCTTTTCCGCAGAGTGAGCCCAAGTGGGCAATTCACCGGCTCACCTCCTGGGCTTGCCAGTACTGGGGCCGTGGCCCACACTGTCCCGCCTCCCTCTTGGCCTCTCCAACTCCACCAGGAGCCCTTCCTGAAGGCTTCCTGCTCCTCCAGACCGGAAATGACACCCCCTCCCCTGGGTGCCCATGGACTTGGCCTGGTCCTTCTGGTCACGCATCCTCCTCCAGACCTGGACTTCAAGGCTGTGCCTGCACCTTCCTGGTGGCTGTATCCCCAGGTCCACCGCAGGCCTGGATCACGAGGGAGTGGGGGGAGGTCACCGATGTGTCTGCACAATGGAGGGGTAAGATCCACCCCGCAGGGTGGGGTGAGCAGAGGCAGTTCTTCCCCCAGCTGTTCTTGGGACATTTGTCACCGAGTGGAAAATCCCAGGTGTCCGCAGGCTGCCTGAAACCCACCCACACTGTGGCCTGTCAGATTTCTCACAGGTCAGTCCCATCCGAATTCCAGGCCACCCACCGCTCCCACTCTCCCCGGCCCTCACATCAGTGTGGGACTTGAGGGAAGACCCTCTCTGGGGCCCAGGTTCCCCCACTCCCATCAAAGGTTTCTGTGACCTTCTCACCTGTAACTGGTAACCATGGTAACCGGTAACCGCAGCCTGGAGGCAGCAGTGGCAGCTGGCCCATCAGGAAAGGTTTTCCCCGGAGGCCCCTGCCCGCCTTCTCCCTGTGCCCACTGGCTCTTCCTTTGTCTCCTTGGCTTTCTGCCCACATCTCAGGCCCCATTCAGTGCCTCTGTCTCTACCTCTGCCTCCCTTGCACCTCTTTGCTGTCTCTCACATTCTTCCTCTCAGGCTGCCTCACCTGCTGCCCCTCAGTGCTCCTCATCTCCTCTCTGCCTGCCCTTCTGCGGCTGTGGCTGGTCCTGTCTTTGCCTCCCTCTTTTGATCTAGAATATGGCAGCATGGGAGTAACAGTGGGACAAGGGGGCTGGGACTCCCACCAATGGGCTTCACTCAGCCCCCCAACCAAGCCCTACCTGTCCCAGGGCTGCCAGGAATGTGGGCGGGGCGGGGGGGGGGCGGGTTGGAGGGGGGGCAGAAGGCCAAGGATGAGGCTGCTCTGGGGAAGGTACATATTTCCCAGAGGCTTAGTCACACAGCAGTGGGACAGGTGTGTTTCTGGCCCAGCAGGTTCTGCTGGGCAGGGCTGGCTGAGGGCAGGGCCTTGGTTAGAAGAGCAGGTTCCCAAAGAGGGAGGGTGTTATTACCTGGGAGGGGTGGTGGGGGCGGGAGCTCCTGGGAGGTGTAGCAGGAACTCTGGGGGACATTCCACAGGGGGCTGGAGTGAGAAGTGCCTCCCCATGGTACCATGGTAGGGACCCGAGGATTCCCCCTCAGCATGGCCCAGAGCACTTGGTACCCAAGACTGATGTTGCCAGGTGAGGGAAGAGGGACGTATTTCTTGCTCATCCTCCAGTGCTCAGCTCACAGGTTCCTTCTCCCAAGAGTCTAGCTTTTGACGCTCCTGGGTGAGCATTCTCCTATTCTGTTCTTCTTTGGCGCTTGTTCTTTGACTCTCTCTCTCTCTCTCTCTCTCTCTCTCTCTCTCTCTCTCTCTCTCTCCAGCTTTTATTGTCTGACTTTCCCACTAGATTATAGGCGCCACGAGGGTAGGGAGCGTGCTTTCACCATTCATGTCGTGCCTGCTCCTGGAGCACGGTGGGTGCTAAGCAGAGGGTTTAGACAGGTGTGATCACAAAGTCTGGGAGCCAGTGCAATGATTTGATTGTCTATTGACTTGTCCTGGAGCAGGTGCCAAGTGCAGGTAGCTTGTCTGGCCTGTCCCTGCTGAGCTCCCACTGGCTCATCCCCTGGGGGAGAGGAGGGGTGGGGAAGGGGAAGTAGCCCTGGTGTGAAGATGGAGGGAGGGAAGGAAACGCCCCTTGGGATCAAACCAGGGCACAGCAGACCCCCAGCGCGCACATTGTAAGTGGATAATCGAGAGGGCTGATGCCTAATAACGCACAGTGACTTTATTTTTCTGTGCAAACTCTGCGCTGGGCACGTATCTGTGATTTCATTTCATCCAAGCAGGGCAGGGGCTACTGTTCCAATCTGGCAGCTGAGGAAACTGGCCCGGCCTGAAGAGATGAGGCCACTCTGTGAGGCCCCCCAGCTAGGGAGCGCAGGCCCGTGCCCAGCAGCTTCTGTCCCGGGTCCCACACTGTCGGGCTGTCCTCCTGTGCTCGCATTCGTTTCACAACTGGTGACTGGAAGTGGACAGAACACCAAGGGAAGGGGTTCCCTGACTCAGAGTTCACGGAAGTAATTACTCCCCTCGATTCAATTGCAGTCTTCAGTGAACAAGGCGATACGTGTAAAAGCCCATGGACATGGCCCAGTTCTGAATTCAGGTTGTAATAATAATAATAATAATAATAATAGCGATGCAATCCGGGATTGCTGTACCCTTTGGTCACATGGTCGGCCCCACTGGCCTGGTGGGTCTTTCCATCACAACAGCTATCGCCCCTTCTCTCACCCCATCACGCATCACCAGGCCCTGTTTCCACCCCCGTGCGGGACTCTGGTTCGCCTTGATGAAGCGCCCCATGAGAAGTGTTTCCTCATCGTTTAAAATGTGTTGAACTCCTTCTGAATTTGATTTTGTCATCCTCTCTGAGCTATCGCTCACTTCTTTATCTTCAGCATTTTTATTCAAATCCTTCATTACCATCCCTCACACACGTTGGGCAATGAGCACCAGGCACTCCCACATGCATCGCCCCGTTTGACCCTCCCAAGAACCCAGGGCACTGTGGTCCCATTTCACAGGTGAGTAACTGAGGACATGTGCTCAAGAGCCCAGGTTGCGCGCCCATCTCCCCGCACCATCATTGCCTGGCATAGTTTTTCCAGAAATCTACGTCTAGGATTACAGTGACCCTCAGCCACAGGTCTCTGCGTGTGGTGCATCGGCCACCAATGGAACTATCTATCTGTCAGGAACTATCTATCGTTCGATTCCTGTGATTCTGAGACTGCCAGAGGGAGAGAGGGATTGTGTGAAATACGTGTGTGTGTGCACAAGGGCGCACGCGGTGTATAAACGCCACTGTTCATTACTATTAATCAATCCACTTTTATTGTTGAACATCCACAGTAATCGTTTCCGTTATCACCAATATTCTTATGAATTCCAATCTGAAACTCTTATTCTTGTTTTTCACTAAAAGGCAAGTGTATCCTTGAACTCCATTCTTCATGGCCCTCTCTCTCTCTTAGTCTTTATACACACATGTAATGAGGTTGACATCTCAACCGTGCATCTTCTGGGATTCTGGCCATCTGACCTGGGTATGGCCGCGGAATCCTATGAGTTAACTTGGACACACCAGCTGGCACATAGGAGATGTTGTATTTCTATAGTTCCCAAAGGTGAGGAGTAGAGGACTTTTCTGACTGGCTTGGCGTGTGGAGGGGGAACAGAGCTTTGTAATTTGTTGTGGGAAACTGTTTATTGCCTTCACTATCTGATAAGCATCGACAGAGAAACTCCCTCCCCCCCCACCCCCCAAGGCTGGGTGCCTTTGAAGCCCTAGCAAAGGTCGGAGCTAGGCGCCACCTCTGTTTGTCCAGACAGTGGTAGCTGAAGCAACTTCCCCATTTATTATTATGTAAATCCTTGCTTGATGGGCTAGTCTGCCTGTTGCCAGGGGTCGCCTGCCTAAGGGCTATGCTATGGGTGCATCCCAGATCAAAAAAAGCTTGGTGAGGCCTGAGCACCTGTGGAAGTCCTTCTCCTTGAGTTGGACTTGCCCGCCTGGCCCCCCAATATTCCCAAATTATCTCTTGTCTCTTCTCTTTCATTTGTGTACGGCTCCACTTCCAGGTCCTGAACCCTGAACCACGCGGGACGTGGGAAGGAAACACTCAACAATTTGTAGACTTCTGGTGTCAGGAAGTTAAGGGGGTGTTGCTGCTTAAAATCACCGACAATCTTGGTTTACATTCTGGTTCCAGTGGAGCCAAAGATACTTGTTCAACCCTCTTGGTTCGTTATTCTGTCCAGTTGAGGCCATGATGAAATTCTCTGGGTTGCTATTTGAAGATGAAAGGCAAAACTTGCAAAATGACAAATAAGTGTACAATACCCATATGATCTCACACTGAGTAATGGCAACCAATGTTGCCTTCTCCCAATGAGGTTTTCACTGGAGGTGGGTGTGAATGAAGTGAGGGGGAGGACCCATAGGGAACCAGCATGAGGTGAGACAGAGCCCTAAAAACCATGGGCTGTGGACCTTCTCCGGGCTCTGTCTCTATGTCTGGAATGTTCTCCCCCACTCCCTTCATTTTTTTGCCTGGCCAATTTCTATTCATTCTTTAGCGCGCGCGCGCGCGCGCGCGCACACACACACACACACACACACACACACACACACACACACACTCCTGCAGTTGTTTGGGGGGTAAGGTGGGTTAGGGAACAGCAGAAGAGAACTGGAGTCCCCGCCCTAACTTGGCCAGTAGGTGGTGCAGGTGAGCCAGCTCCCAGACCAGGGCTGGGAATGGGCAAGCCCTGGTGAGTGTAGGGTGGAGCAGCTTTGCCAGGGGTGATTGCCTAGACCTGCTTTGTGAAGAGGCGGGATGTCCTTCTGGTGCGTGTACAGGAAAGAGGGGGAAATGGCTGGAGACGCAAACTTGCTGGGGCACTTGCTGCAGGAGTGTGCCAGGTGTTGGTGTCCTGGTACTTCTGCCCGCAAAAATGCTCTTGGCACATCAGGCTCCAGTGGCCAGGCAGCCTGTCCTGAGACGTGGAGGAGGAGGCATGCCCGCCTCCCAGATGAGCCCAGCACTGCCTGAGGACAAATCTCCCCTCGCTCTTAGTCAGCCCCTGCTCCCACACTCCTCGCAGATATTGCTACATATCCCTTCCTTCCCCTCCCCACCCTCTTGCTGTCAGCGAACACTGAGGCCCACCAGCAGGACCTCTCTCAGCTTCCTGCGACCTCACAAATGTTCCTGCGACCACATGCCCAGAGCTTTCTTCACATCAGCCTCAGCAGGTGAGGAGCCCCTCTTCTGTAAGGTCCACTTTTCTACTCCTTCCCTTGATCTGGTCCTTTTCACACCCTTGGGAATTCCCCCCCTTTTTTTTAAAAAAAATCCTCACCCAAGGATATGTTTGTACGGATTTGTAGGGGAAGGGAGGGAGGGAGAGAGAGAGAGAAACATTGATGTGAGAAAGAAACACCAATTGGTTGCCTCCCATATGCGTCCTGACCAGGGATCGAACCCGCAACCTAGGTATATGCCCTGATGAGGAATCAAACCCACAACCTGTTGGTGTACGGGATGAGACTCCAACTAACAGAGCCAGTTTGTGTGGGACCTTTGAGGTCATAGTAAAAAGTGATATTTCTGAGAGATCAGCCCTGGAATTAGACTGGTGTAATTTCAGTGTTTTCATTGAAATTCCATCTTGAGGGCAAAAGAGAACCAGCAAGGGGCTGTCAGGTCAGATGTGTTTTTTTGTTTATTTGATTGACAGTTGGAACTGGATTCTGAAATCCAGGTTTGCAGAGTAAACCAAGCTTTCCTTGGCAGAGAAAACCCAACTCCACAAAAACCACTGGAAGGGAGGGAACATGGTGGGCCTGGCCTTCCTCTTGCCTCTTTGGCTTCTTCGTATCACTCTTCTACCAGGTGCTCTTCCTCCACCCAGAGCTCTGTCCTCCTCTCTCTTCTCTGGTTCTCTGCTCTTTCGCTGATGATCTCATCCACCATCATAGTTTTAACTTCCCAGCTCTAAGGCCTTAGAGCTGCAGATTCGTACATGCAACGGCTGTGCAATGGCCATCCCGGCTCCCACATGTCCAGCAGTGAATGTATCTCCTTTTTCCAAAAGCCTTTCCCAAGCAGTAAAACTTCAGCTCACTCTTTCCTCCTCTTCTTCATCTACACCCACCGCAGGAGGCAGTATTGTTACTAGCTCAGTGCTTGTACTTTGAAGCTGGACAGAACTGGGACCAGATCTCAGTTTCCAGACCTGCAAAGTGCGCTATACACATACACAACTTAAAAGGCTAGAGTGAAGATTGAACGGGATAATGCAGAAGAAATGACTAATGTTAACCAACATTACTCAACAGATACTAACTAAAATTTGCAAGCAATTAGCTGCAAGTCTCGTGGTTCTGATCTCAGAAATGGCTCCTGACTCTGTCCCTTCCTTCCTTCCCCATGCTATGGCCTGAGTGAATGTTGCCATCGTTTCTTACCCAAGTTCTTCATTAGTCACATCAGGCTCTTTATTTCTCGTACGGCTGAGAGTCTTTTATTTCATAACATGAAATTATATGTAATAATACGTAATTGCTGATTTCAACTAACACACTTTATCTCTTAATATTATGGTATTTTCTTATAAGATCCAGTGGCTTCAGAAAGGTGACAACCAAGAAGTGCCAATTAGGAGCCCAAGGTGGCCCAGCTGGTAAGGACACGGAGCAGGGCCTGCAAACTCAAGCCTGCCTAACTTCAAAGTCAGTGCACTTCCCTGTAGTCTAATGTCCAGAGATACAGGGACCCTGTGCCCTTCTTTTGTGGAAACTCTGATGGGATTCAGAAAATACGGATCACCCACAAGGCAACCTGGGCAGCTAAGACTGATGCTTGCTCACTCAGGAAACCTCAAACCTTCCTGTTGGAAAGGGCCAGCGGCTATGGATAAGGTGCAGTACTGCTGCTCACCAGCAGGGGTCGCGAGAGCCTGCCTGTGCTCACCACATGTGCGATGCAGGTGGCACAGGGCACTCTTGAGCCAGGGACTCTCAGGTAGGTTGAGATCACAAAGCACAACAGTGACGTCCTCCCATCTACACTGGGAGAGGCAAGAAAAGGTTCATTCTGAGAGATTTCTAAAAGACTATGGCCCTGTCAACACCCTGATTTTTTTTACTTCTTGTTTCCAGAACTGTGAGAAAATAAATGTACGTGGTTTTTAGCCATTCTGTTTGTGGTGCTTTGTTACAGCAACCCTAGAAACAAATACATATGCATACTCTATGACCCAGCAATTCTGTAGGGTGGCCAGTAATAAGGTGCTATCTCTGCAGTCTGTCAATGTCTGTCACAAAAAAACATCTCCTCTGCCCCTTTCCATAGCCACCTGAATAAATCTATGCAAGGCCATGCCCCTGGCAGGGGTGAGGAGGCTGGAGTACTGCTCTCCATAAAGCCACACGCCTGCATGGAGGGACTTCTTAGATGAGGAGGGGCAGGTAAGGAACTTCTCCAGGTTATTTATGAAAGAGGCCTTGGAGAATCTCATAAGCCACTTGGCATCCTTGAATTTTCTCTGCCCTGTGGGTCCTCCTGCTTTCTCCATGGCATCCTTCAGGCCAAAGATGAAAGGGGAAGTGTCCCATGGGGGGGGGGCGGTGAAGGCACCAGTGTGGGGAGGGAGGGAGGAAGCAACAAGGACCAGGAGCCTCGCTGCAAGGGGTGAATGGGTAGAAGAAGATGAAGATGAAAATAGGAAAGGGAAGGTGCCTCTCCACTAAGGTTTGTATTTGAAAGTATGAACCTGGGGTTGGGCTCAGGATTTTGAAGGTCTGAACGCTGAGACCTAGATTGGGGAGCGGATCAGTGAGATTAAAGGATTAGGGCTGTAACGTGGAAGTATGGGAGCAGAAACTGGAATGGAGTCAAGAGGACTGGTAGTTGATAGGGTGACATCTGCATCTGGTAACCTCAGAACCTGGAATCTAAATTTATGGTTATGATTGGGGTGGATTTAAAGTTTGAGTTTTGGAGAAATGTGACTCTGATAGCCAGAGTGACTCTGGGGACTTGCTGGTTGAATTTGGCTGAGGGGCTCAGACTTGTGGGATGGTCTGTAACGGCTGAGATTTGGGGACCTAGGACTAAGACCTGGGGACTTCCCAACGTACCTCAGAGTTGGGGAACTTCAAGCTCAATAGGACTTAGAGGCCAAGAGGGCAAAGGACACCTGGCAGGGAAAGTGACCACTTCGTGGGAGTCAGAAGGCAGTTGAAAAGTCTGTGGGGTGGGAGAGATTGGAGGCTAGAGTAGGCAGAGTCCCCATGTGGATAAAGAACAGGGTTGCAGGGCAAGGGGGCCTCTGCCTCCCAGAAAAGCGTAGGCCACCATTTTTCTAGTATTCATAAAACTTTAATGAATTTTTATTAAATTCTCTTGTAGGTATAGTTTATAATACCCCCCCCCCCAATTGAAAATTTAAGCTAAAAGTTAGTAGATTTGGAGATATAGGGGAAAGAGCAAGAAAGTGTAACACCTGTTTAATAGAACTTCTAGAAGCAGTGAAAGGTGGGAAAACTAAATGAAGACCTAGTAGAAGAAAATTTTGTTGAGCTGAATAAAGATATGAGTTTTCAGTTTGAATGGGCCTATCAGATGTTAATGATAATAATAAAAAGACCAATACCTAGACAAATCCATATAAAATGTCAGAACTCCCAAGATAAAGTAAAATGACAGAAAGCTTTCTGAGAGAGCAGTTTATCTACAAAGCAGTTCTTGGAGGGAAATATAAAGACTTAATTGGTTGCATTAGGAAAAAAGTAAGATTGAAAATAATGAAACTAGCTATATAACTTAAGTCTAAAAAGGAACAACAGAATAAACTTAAATAAGAAGCAAATGATAAAGAGAACAAACATTATTGAAATAAAAAAACAAAGATATAAGACAGAAGATCTAAAAATGCCTGAAGTTGGTTCTTTGAAATGACCAATAAAATAGACTAATCTTCAGAAGATAAATTTTAAAAAGTCATATATATATGACTATTAGGGATGAAAAGAAATATAATTAAAGATGCAGCAAAGATTAAAACAGTAAGTGGATATTATGAACAACCTTATGTCAACAAATATAAAAACAATAAAATGGAAAATATTCTGAGAAAAATGTAAATATTCAAAACAGAATTAAGAATAAAAATTTTGAATGGTTATATAACCAAAGAATTTAAACTCTTCCCATGAAACAAAACATCAAGCTCAGTTTTATTTGCAAATTCTACTAGTGTTCCAGAAATAGACTTTTCTAGGTGTATAAAAATTCTTACAGAGTATAAAAAGACAGGTTCATATGCCAATGCATTTTGTAAAGCTGCCTGTTATCCTTGACACCAAAACCAGAAATGAATAGTAAAATAAAGAAAAACTGCAAACCAATATCTCTTATGTATACAGATGCAAAATACTAAATGAAATTATTAACCTAAATCCAAAAATGCATGAGAACGATGTAAAATAACTTGAATTTTACTCTAGGAATGCAAAGTTGATTCAACATGGAAAAAATATATTAATATAACTCACTCTATTCATAGATTAGAGAACAAACTCCATGGTGTCACCTCAGTTTTCAACCACCATATAAAAACTCTTAACAACCTAATAAAAGAAGTAAATTTTAAATAAATTTAGAAGTCCAATGCAGTGGTTGGACTATTTGATCTTTAAAGATTATATGTGTTTTGATCTCCATAAATGACTGTTGTAAAATGATGAAAGTGGCAGTGACTGTAAATAAAAGAGCTGGGGAGGGGTGATTTTTCTTTCTGTCTCAAGCCGTGATTGGGTAGGAAGAATGCCTTGGTTTATTCATGTAGCAGGTGATTTTCATTGAGTAAGTCAATACATTGGCATTTACTTATGGCAGATAGAATAGGGCCTCGAACAGTGGTTCTCAACCTTGGCTGCACATTAGAATCACCTGGGAATCTTTTTAAAATCCTGACTTCTGGGCCTCATCCTCCGGAAATTCTGTTTCTTTGTTATGGGCTGAGGCCACAACATTAGTAACAAAGAGACAGAATTTCCGGAGGATGAGGCCCAGAAGTCAGGATTTTAAAAAGATTCCCAGGTGATTCTAATGTGCAGCCAAGGTTGAGAACCACTGGCCTAGAAAGTTCCTGACCTGGCTGATGTTCTCCATCCCTTTTGATGTTCTGTATTACGTAATTAACAGAGTCACTGTATCATCTTTCTTGCTAAGTGGAAGGCTTCCCGTGTTTCCCCATGATCCCTCTGGTTCTGGTGTTTAACATCTCACACACTTATATTGTGTTTTCCTAAGTTCAGTGAAGCTCCTTCAAGACAGCAGGAAAGGGCTCCTCTACCTGTTGTCCCTAAAGTGCCCAGGAACAGTGTTCACACTGTAGAGGCTCATAAGCGTCTGACACAATGACGCCTTCTCCTGGGTAGCATAAGCTTGGTGGCCCCACGGTACAGCTGCCCTGCTTTCAGACCTTGCAGAGTAGGCTCTGAACTGTGAGAGAGCATCTGCCCAGGGCAGCCCTGTCTTTAAAAATCATTGGGCTCCATGAGGAGACCCATGGTGGCTACTCAATGCACAGGGGCTGTTTATTGAAACCTTTCCCCAAGATGTTTGTGTTTGGGGAGCACTTCTCGATCTTAAGCTCCAAATCAGAGTTCCTATCTTTGGCTGCCAGGCATTCTTCCCACCCCTGGTGACTCCCATCTATCCAGTCCCTTTTCCCCAGTAGAATAAATAGATGTGTTGAATGAATGTACACCTATGGGTGAGTGAATGGAAGAAAAGAGAGAAGAAGAATAGAATGAATGAACTTGGAAGCTACAAAGACTCATGGATACCCAGAAATTCTCATGATCAGCAAATTTATTGGCTGAGGAGGCACTGGGGTTGGGAGGTAGTGGTGCAGAAGCCAAGGGGAAAACTGCAGAACAAGATACAGCTGGAGGGTTCGATGGCTTCTTCCAGGGGGGTTAAAACGGTGAGGCTTTGGAACCTCATGGCATTATCACGAGAACACTAAGCCCGTCGGCGCCCACGAAGAACACCTCCAGCTCCCGCGCCTCCGTGGCGTCCCGCGGGCCTCATTTGCATGGCCAGCTGGGCGCCTGCTTCTGCTGGGTCTGGTGGCAGACCGGGACGCACTGGGCACTCCCGGAGCCGCCGCCGCCGCCGCCCCCAGAGGAGCCGCCGCCACAGCCGGATCCGCCGCCACCCCCACCGCCGGAGTAGCAGTCGCCCCCGGAGGAGCCGCCTCCGCAGCCGCCGCCGCCGCCGCCGCCAGACGACCCCCCGTAGTAGCACTGCTGGGGGACGCACGAGGTCTGCTGGCAGTAGCCGCCAGAGCCGCCGCCAGAGCCGCCGCCGCCGCCAGAGGAGCCCCCACCGCAGCCGCCGCCGCCGGAGTAACCTCCGCCACCGGAGTAGCCACAGCCGCCGCCGCCGCCGCCGGAGGAGCCGCCCCCGCAGCCGCCGCCGCCACCGGAGGAGCCGCTTACATAGCTCTGGCAGATCTGCTGGCCTGAGCCGCCGCCGCCGCCGCCGCCGGAGTAACCTCCGCCACCGGAGTAGCCGCAGCCGCCGCCGCCGCCGCCGGAGGAGCCACCCCCGCAGCCGCCGCCGCCGCCGCCGGAGGAGCCGCCTCCATAGCTCTGGCAGATCTGCTGGCCGGAGCCGCCACCGCCGCCGCCGGAGTAGCCACCGCACTCGGAGCCGCCGCCACCAGAGTAGCCACCGCAGCTGGAGCCTCCACCGCCGCCGGATGAGCCCCCGCCGCCGCCGGAGCCGCCGCCCCCGGAGTACTTGATGCCCCCTCCAGAGCCACCGCCGCCGCCGCCGCCGGAGTAGCCACCGCAGCCTCCACCGCCGCCGGACGAGCCCCCGCCGCAGCCGGAGCCTCCACCGCCGCCGGAGTACTTGATGCCCCCTCCAGAGCCGCCGCAGCCGCCAGAGCCGCCAGAGCCGCCGCCGGAGTAGCCGCCGCAGCCTCCACCGCCGCCGGACGAGCCCCCGCCGCAGCCGGAGCCTCCGCCGCCGGAGTACTTGATGCCCCCTCCAGAGCCGCCGCCTCCGGAGTAGCCGCCACCGCCGGAGTAGCCGCCACCACAGCCAGAGCCGCCGCCGCCGCCGCCGCCGCCGCCGGAGTATTTGATGCCCCCTCCGGAGCCGCCGCCGCCGCTGCTGCCGCAGCCACCGGAGCTTCCGCCGCCGGAGTAGCCGCCGCCGCTGGAGTAGCAGCCAGAGCCTCCGCCGCCGGAGCCGCCGCCCCCGGAATACTTGATGCCCCCTCCGGAGCCGCCACCATAGCTGCCGCCGCCGCCGCAGCCACCGGAGCCGCCTCCACCGCCACCACCGCAGCCACCGGAGCTGCCGCCGCCGCCACCGCCGCCGCCGGAGGATTTCCCGCAGAACACGGGGCACTGGGGGGTGGGCTGCTTTTTCTGAGACATCTTCTCTGAGGTGGAAGGAAACCCTGGAAGGAGGGCAGAGAGAGCATTATGGACCAGTGGAGAGAGGATGAAGGGGAGGAGGCAGCTGTAGCCATGGCAACCCATCACCAGGAGCAGCCTGCTTGAGCAGGCTTCATGCTCTCCTTGTTCAGATCTGGAGAGCTCTCAGCTGGGATTCCTAGGAGTGGTGCTTTTTGGGAAAGAGTTGCGTCCTCTCGCAGGAGGTTTTTTCCAAGCTCTACCTATATAGCCTGGTTAGTGGTGCCCATTCTTCTCTCCCCAGCTCTGCCTCTGGACTCTTGTGTGATTTTGGAGCGAAGGACCCACACTCTCTCCTATTTCCTCACTTCCTGTAAAGTGAGGGGTTGGAGTACTTCATCTCTCAGGTCTCTTCCAGTCCCAACACTGAATCAATAAGTGCAAATAGAAGAATACTACAGACCTTCACATAGGGTGGGGATTTTACTCATCCCCTGCACAACAGAGGGTTTGTTGGAAAATCAGAAAGCTGCAGTAGCATATTCTCTGCAAAAACTTTTAGTTCAAGCTCTTGGTCTATCCCGCTGAGCTTGGCCATCATCTGGGACAGTTATCAGAAAAAGGAGGCTCCCCCGTGGTCCTGCCTGGACTCCGTTGGTCCTTTGGACCACCATCTCTCACCCGATGATGTCAGCCACCGCCTTTACCACTTGTGCAGTCCAACCTTGGTCTAGGGGCCTGGACTAGTAGGAAGTTGGATCCCAGCATCTCACAAGTCATCTCCCTCTCTGTAAAACAAGCTTTGGGGTTCTGATGGCTCCTAAAATCTCTCCCATCAGCAGCATTCTCTGACTCATTCTCCCTCTACTTCATGAGAGTAGACTCCGCCTCTCCTGACAACCCAGTCCCAGGCCGTCTCAGACAGTCTCCATAGAGTGTCTCCCTGTGCCCAGCACCAGGCCTGGCCCCTACAGAGGTGCCTGAGAGACAGGAGATAGTCTTGCCTTGTGAAGTTTACATTCCGGCCAGAAGGCAAGCAACACCATCTCCACAGCATCAACCCAACCCCCCTTTCTTTCCTGCCTGAATCCCCTCTAAGCACGAATGCAGTTGGGAAGCCAGAGGTCCAGTAGCTCCCAAAGCAAAGAGAGACCTCGCCTGTCCATCCCCTGCTCTGGCCTATGCAGGCCTGGTCCAGACCCGCTGAAAAGACCAGGGCCAGTAAACCCACACTTACCCAAAGGAAGGTGAGTGAGAAGAGGGAGATGCTGGCTGTGTGAGGAACACTGGAGCTTCTGAGGTTTTATACTCTAGCTGTGACTCATCTATTGATCGGGGCCAGTCTCTTGTGTTTGGCCTGTTACGTGACCCAGGTTGTCGCCCCACCCCCCTGTGATTGCACACATTCATAGAGATTTTGGCATTCTTGAAATGGGCAGCCTAGTGAGTGACTGGCCCCCTTTCTGATGCAACTGTGCCGCAGGCTGGGCAGGGGGACGGCCAGCCGGAGTGGATGACTGACATTGTTTTCAAATCCTCTGGCCCAGGGTGCATGCCATCACCAGAGGGCCATGCCTGAGGAGTATGTCCCTGACTGCCTCTTGACATGGCCTAAGGGAATCACACTGGAGATTTCAGTCTTTGGCCGAAGGAGCGGGACCTTTCAAATCCCACAGTTTGGCTTCTGATCCCATTGCTAGGAAACCTTCATAACTCTAAAGAGAGCTTGCTCCTCTTTTGACAAATGTTTCTCCCCCAGGGTCTCCTGTGCTTTGCTGGGATGTTTCTGTCTTGCCCACCGGCTTGAGACAGTGAATGAAATCCTTGCACCCAATTCGGGGTTGTACACCGTGGATACTGCTGTAACTACAGTGGGGCCTTGACTTACGAGTGTCCCGACTAACGAGTTTTTCGAGATATGAGCCATCTCTCGGCCGATTTTTTGCTTTGAGTTGCGAGCTAAAATTCGGGTTACCAGCCAGCTTCAGATACCCCACCGCTAGTTGGCGCAGCAAACGTCACAGTGAACGCCACAACATCAGCCCAGCATCACGTGTCTCACTCGTTCACTTTGTGATTTGACATATGAGTAATTTGAGTTATGAGCTCCATCACGAAATGAATTAAACTCGTAAGTCAAGGCCCCACTGTAATGGGACATTGGTGGCTACTTCGGTTTGTTCCTGGGACAATTGGTAATCGATACTGACTTTCCTTGCAAAGGAGCCAGCTAGAGATCAACCATGTGGTCCTTGCCACCACAGCCCTTTGGCTTTGGTGTCCTGTGGTCTTGTGTGGCAACAATGACCTCAGCCTAAGAGACAGCCATGGAATGAATAAACTTGGGGTTAGGTGTCTGGGTTTAGGTGCCCCCTTTGGTACTTGCCAGCTGTGTCACCTTGACAAAGTCACAGCACCTTATCTGGCGCCTGCATACACAGGAGACTCTGAGTAAGTATTTGTTGAATGAACACGCTCAGTTACCTTGCCCATCAGATAGGAATAGTAACACCTGTTTCCTAGGCTTGTCAAGAGAACATAGTTGTATGCAAAGTGTGGGGGTGATGCTGTTCTTTTTATTGTTTCCTCTCATAACAACACATTCTTACCTCTAACTTGGACTACCCTTGGACCCCCAGCTCAGGAGGGAGTCCGTGGATGACTTGAGGCAAGCTCTTGTCTAGGAAAATAAAACTTTCCTCTTGACCCTGGGCCGGTACCATCGCTCTGTGTATGCAGAACAGCATGCTCCCCCTTCTTTCATCACTGGAACTCAATTGCTATTGTTTAAGATGCCGCATTTGAACTTTGTTCCACCCAATATGTGTTGCAATGACAGCTCCAATAATAAATTGGTGCTTAATTAAGGTGGAGTTTTAATGAAGCAAATGATCCTGATTAAGACCTTTAGAAACTGGTGGCACCCGTTTTCGTGTGGACAGCACGAACCCCGGTGAACACAGGGACTCCCTCCTTAGATAATGGCAGGAGGGAGATGGTAGGGCCTGTTGAAAAGGCAGGTTTCTTAGTTTGTAGCTGAAGCACATGGAGATTTTGGAGGGAAACAGCTGCCAAATAGATGATTGCCATGGGTACAAAACAGTTTTTTCAGTTGGGCTGTACTGGAGAGAGGAGCCTGTGTGAACCATGGTTCTAGTACTGCTCTGTGGGCCCATGTTGTCCCTTTGTGTGTTCTTTAGTTCTCAGGGAAATGTAAGGGAAAGAATAGTCAGCAGTGCGTGCTTGAGAAGGAAAACCTTTCATTCTGAAATCATGGCCTTCCTACCTTTATTTGTTGTTAAAATATCATTTCTTTTAAAAGTGTTAGGAAATTGTACTTGTTTCTTTCATGTCCTTGTCAAAAATGAAAAAAATTATATATATATATTGAGAGTGATGTTATTTCTCTATGAAATTGCAAAGTTTAGGCACCTTGCCCTAGCCAGTTTTGCTCAGTGGATAGAGCACCGGCCTGAGGACTGAAGGGTTCCAGGTTCGATTCTGGCCAAGGGCACATGCCTGGATTGTGGGCTCGATCCCCAGTAGGGGGCGTGCAGGAGGCAGCTGATCAATGATTCTCATCATTGATGTTTCTATCTCTCTCTCCCTCTTCCCTCTCTGAAATGAATAAAGAAATATATATTTTTTAAAAAGTTTAGGCACCTCAAGTGCAGGTGACCTCAAAGAGCTAATAATCTTCAAACTACCCATGCTAATTTGGAGGATTTATGTTCTAAGAAAGATATGTGTGTTTTTTTTTTTTTAATTCTATCAGGTTGAAGAGCCTAATGCTTTTTCATGAGTATAGCCAACGCCAGTATACTGGGCACTACGCTAAGCATCAGGGAAGAGGCCGAAGGCTTTCAAAGCTGTGCATGGATCTCCTTGGTATATTTGGGTAGGGGGTAACTCCTTGTGTGCCTCTGCCACCCTACAGAGCATATAATAAGAAAAACCTAACTAGTCCATTTACTTTGTTAACTTGCAGAAAAGGCTGATATAACATAGTGCCGAGAGCAGTGCTGGCCCTGTGGCTCTCAGCCTGAGTTAACCTTGCCTGGGTTGTGACTACACGACCCTGCTTCCCCATTTTACCCTCTGGACCAGAAGTCCCAATGGGCCATCTATGTGGACAGCAACTGGTGATCTCATTGCAGCATATCAGTGAGGAAATGATGGGAGTTTGTAGAATTACTACACTTAGGTATTTGAAGTTTTGTAAGACTTGGCAGGCCAGGCTTTTACGACGTATGGCCTTTAGACATGTAACCTTACAATGTGCTTGCGGGCATGTCTGAGAGCTGCAGCCTGACAGAGGAGGACACAATTCCTGCCTGGACATGTGTCCTTAGAGGGGACAGCCGTAAAGCAGATGTTTCACAGTGCCCTGTGTGGTGCGAGGCATTCATAGGCGCTCTGTAAAACCTGGTGGAGTTGAAGGGGATTCTGGCTTCCCGTTGGCTAACAGCCCGGGTTTGAGGGACACATGGTCACTGTGCCCAGGCAATCCTCTGTCTGAGGGACGATTACAGCTCTTAAGTTTGGGGACCCTCAATCTGATAGAAGCCCACTCATCACAGTCTTTGAGTATCTAAAGCTATGCACGAATGCTCACAAAGTCGTAATTGAGGGGAAAATGGCAACAGGTGGTTTGTAAAGAAAATGAACACAGGGCAGGCGTAGAGTTTGCAAGCCTGTAGCATCGTTTATTTCTCTTAGACGCTGGGCCTGAGAGGTATCTCAGAGCTCGGCCCCCTGTTGGCTCCCTGTCTCCCCTCTCTCCAGCCCTCCTGGGTGAGCAGTGTGAAGAGGTGGCTGACTCTGGTGGTGAAAGGACAAAGCAGAAACATACTCCCCTCTCTCTCCCCTATCTTGCCTTGTAGGGCTGGGCCCTCAGCCCAAGCCCCCTCCTTTTCTGAGTGACCACAAGAATGCCGGTATTGACCTAACTTCCCCAACCACCACCTGAGTGGACCAATGAAGCTCCAGGAATGCAGCTAAAGTCCTGATAAGGCTATAGTGGGGGACGGCCCAAGCCTCAGAACTTCCTGACCTTTGTGCTGTAAGACCCTGATGAAAAACCCTGACCTAAATGACCAATCTCTGTAACCCACGTCACCCCCTAAGCCCACCCAAATAACTAGCCCTATATAACCTTTGTTCTCTTGGAACTCGGGGCTCTCTCTTGCATCCAGTAATGGAGGCGGGGGGGGGGGGGGAGGGGACCAAGCGAGCTTGTATTAAAGACTCTCTGCTTTTGCATCGGATTTGGTGCTCCCTGGTGGATCTTTGGGGGGTCTTGAAATCTGGGCATAACAGTGGCTAAGTGGGGAGAGCAGCTTAGAGGTCTGGGAGAGGCCAGGTCCCGAGTGGCTGACAGCTCTGGAACTCCTTCCCCAGGAAGCTTCCTGAGAGGTTCATCCCACCCACTGGTTCCATCTCCCTGGCCACTTTCCCTCTTCAGGACTGTAAGGAACAAGTGTACTGGTTCCAGCCTGCAAATCACACACCCAGAGTAGCCTTGTCTCCTTTTTCAAGTTATAACTGTCCTTGAGAGGATGGTCTTCATTGGTTCTTTACTCTGCGGCCTAAGTTTCATAGAGTTTATACCCCCTGGGGCTTGACCAGAACGTGTGGACTCTTGAGACCCTTTCAGGTTCTCCCGTGGCTCTTTGCGTGGAGGAGGACCACAGCTGAGTGGTTCATGAGTTCCCACATGGCTTGTGGGCTAGCATGCAGGGTGAGCAGTGCCCCTGGGACGTGCTTGCCTGGCTCAGCTGCTTCCCATGTGGACAGACTCTCAGTTCATGGACTGCTGTCACATGTGTGTCTTGTTTATTCCTCACAACAGTCCTGTGTGCTCAGTGATATTATATCCTCATTTCCCAAATGGGAAGCGGCTCATAGAGGCTAATGGGATTCTCAAACTCCCACAGCCGTGAAGTGGCAAAGCCAGAATTCAGACTCATATCTTCTGATCTTAAACTTTGCATTTTTTGCAAGCACTCTGTAGCTCTTCTTTTTAGGTCAGTACAGTATAGGCAGAATGAAGGGATGATGCCCAGTCGGGCTCCAGTCCTTGCCCTCTGGGAGACAGGGAACAGAATTTGCTCTCATGGATGCTCCCAGCTCCTGAGGGACAATTCCATGCACTGGGAGACTCAGGAGCTGGAAGGACATGCAGAGATCGTCCAAGAAAGCCCAACATTTGCAAAGATAGATGAAAAACTCAAGGCCCAGACAGGCTAAACTACTTCCCAAAGCTAAGACTAAACCAGGATCTCAGCTCCCCTTCCCCAGCACCTCCTCCTTCCCCCTCCTTCCCCGAGATCCACTATAGATTCAGGGTGTGACTTTCTGCTTTCTCCTGGCAAGAGAACTTCCAGTGTTGGCAGCGAGACCAGGGAGTAGTTAAAAATGACAGTAAAAGTATTTATTGATGAGCTGGGCCTGGGCGCTCTAGCCTCTGGGCCTGGAAGTAAATTGCTGATTTCACAAGGCCCTTTCACAGATGGGCAACTGCGGAGAGCCTGAAGGCTCAGGGCCTACCTCCTGAGCTCATACGCAAGCTTTACCAACAGGGAGGAGCAGTGAGCAGTCCTTGTGGGCTCCAGTCCTGCTCTTGGTCAGGCAGGGTCTCATGAGGCCTCGCAGGATTGTGTGCAGGGTGGTCCAAGAATGTTGGCTCCTTGACCAGCCAGTCCTTGACCAGCCAGTCCACTGAAATCCAGGGGTGGCTAATCCATGCTGTTTTAATTGGATCCCGAGGCAATGGAATCTGGTAATCAATGTGACAAAAGAAAAAGCACAAACACTTGAAACCCATCGCCTTTTAGGCTCTTCGGCTTAAAGCTTTAACAGAGATAACTAACGTCAATGTGCTTCTCCTTTGCTGGGTCACTGACAAGACAAGTGCCCTTTCTGTTTTGGTTTCAAACCCAATTTTTAAAAAAGATGCAAATGCCTTGAATGATGGAGATAAGTATAACTGATTGAAGCCTGGACTTCTCTTAAGATGTAAAATGGGATTCACAAAAGAAATAAAAATGCCACCGAATCTCTATACCACACTGCGATGTTCGCTCTCTTCTATCTCTGAAGTTCACAACGTTTTTCCCCCTTTTCTTACATTTTTATTCTCTGTTCTCACACAAACACCCATGGAATGCTTTCACTTTTGTTCTTAATTCATTTTCTTCCTCCCACTGTGGCCCTCTTGGGGAAAAAAGAAGCAAATGAGATGAGCACATTCAATTATTACAGGCTTCCTATTAGGAATATCTGTTTTGGAGAAGGAAGATGTCAAAAATTAACCACAGCATTTGGTAGTTGTCCAGCAAAAAGAAAATGAATAAAAATGTTTAGACTGTTATCATCCCTGTAGTCATGACCTTTGGGTAGGTCATAAGTCAACTTTGATCCTTAAGTGCTGCATTTGGGAATCCCCCTGAGGCTGCTGTGGGCTGTGGTGTGACTCCTCTCTCACCCACCGACTGGTAACTAGAATTTACTACTGAAAACCAGAATCTGGATCCAGTCTGTGTCTTGACCAGTAAACCTTGTTCCTCTGACTTGCTGGTTATCCTTCATTCTTCAAATGATACTCCTTATTTCAATAGCTGAACTTGTGGAAGTTAGGTAGATGACTTGGGACAAATCTTCCCACTGCTTAACAGGGTGGAAACTGTAATGACTTGGTTGCTAGGTCTTTATGGACTTCCTTTGGGTTTCTCCATGTGCTCAGAGACTTCTGAGGTGATGGCCTATGAAGCCACTGCCCAAATATGGAACAGATTTCTAGAGCCTTCCCTTCTGGCTAAAAGGGCCATCCAGGCAAGAGCAGATCCTGTTTAAATCTTATTATTCCAATCTAACTCAGGGCTGGGCCTCCACGTGAATATTTGCTAAATATTTGTTGATTAGCCAAAGAGGTGACGAGAATTTGGTCTCATATCCAAGGACAAATGTAATCTGATTTAGTTTTCCATGGAAAGTAGCTTAAATCAATTGTCCATGGCAAACTGCTCTCCCTGTCCATCCCCCACCTTTCACCCAAAGTGCCTGATTCTCCCATTGTCTCTGCTTCCTGTTTTTCAGAGTATCTCTTGGATCATGGCTTTCCAGTGACGCTGTCCTCCCACGGCCCAGTGGTCAGCTTTCTGGCCGGACCTGAAGCAGCACCAGGGAGGCTGTGAGGTTTGCTAGCCTCCGGTGTGTTCTGAACGGGAGGGATCAGAATCTTCTCTCTTCTGAGAAGGTTTTGGGGTCCTGTCGGGCCTGTGCTCTAAACCCGGCCCCAGCGCCAATGGCCTGCGAGCTTGGGCAAGGCGCTGTCTCCCAGGCCTCAGCGTCTTCACCTATGAAGGCCATCTGACTTATTCCCTGCAGGTTTCCTTTGGGCCCCTCCTCCCATGGCCCCTCTCTAAACAGAGGAAAGAGAGATGAGGAGGGGCAGAGGCAGTGACAAGGAAGGAACCAGATGGGATGACAAGACCATGAGCTGCTGGGAAAGAGCACAGACTCTCATCCTCCCCAGGCGCCAACCTCGGGCTCAAATCAGGGGCATTAGGGGGACTTCTCTCTCCAAGAGGATTCCTGGCCAGAGCTGAGTGTGGAGGAGGAGGGAAGGGTGCAGCAAGGGGACCGGTGAGGAAAGTTGGCTGGGTTATGAGCAACCTTGCAGAGTGTCATTACCCAAGGTGGGTATAATTGCAGGGGGTTAAGAAAGGCATGTGGGCAGGCTGGGTTGCTTTAGATTTTCCTATAATTAGTCTATGTCATTTTGAATCCAGAGAAGGATTAATTTGGCTCCTCAGTGCTCCTTGGCAGTGATTCCCCTAGGGTGGGGGGAACTGCCCCCTAATCTTCTAGGAGGTCATTCTGCTGTAAAAATGTAAAGAAAGAAAAGGTGGCCTCAGTACAAACTGAAAAGCAAAGAAAAAAAAGTCACTCATAATTCCAGTATCCAAATACAACTGATGTTAAAGTTTAGGTAACTCTTTTTACATTGCTCTTTTTTTCTTTTTATGCATACTTCCCCTATATATAAACGCTCGATTTTGGGTGCTGATTTTCCATGTGACATTTTCCATGTGACCCCCATATTTCTATGTCCCTTCATAGTCTCTGTAACCATTCATTTTAATGGTTGTGCTCTAGTGCCCACTCCTGTTGTTAGCACTTAGACCTTCCAGTTGTCCCTTGACCTCTGTACCCTTGAGGACTTGTTATTGAATTTCGTTATGTCATGGTTGTCTCTCAGGGACTTTATCTTCCTTCAGGTGCACAGTGTGGCCACATAGTAAGTGAGGAGAAAGGTTTGTTATATGAGGAACCCCCAACCCTTTACTTCTCGTCTCCCCTGATTCTCCTTGTGCAGAACCTGGTGACTCAGTTTCCCCAAGACTCTCTAAGACCACAGAGTCATCGTTTTCCCCCAAAGGTTGTTTTCATCTTGTCTCCTCAAATGCCATCTCTTCACAGACTTCCGGTCCAGGATTTCCTAGGGTTGTGTGGTCAGAAGCAACTGTTTAGTGTATGTGAGGAGGTATGGGGATGGGGCAGAGAAGGAGTCAACAGTTCAGTAGGAATTTGGAGAAGTCAGGTAGGATGTTGAGTGCAATGCCAGCCAAGAGCCAACGGGACAAGGAGATGCAGAGAAAAGAGCAACTGGGAGCACCTTGGAAGAAGCGGGCTTAGAGTGAGGATCGGAAAGCAGGGAAAACTGTGGGCAGGTTTGGCCGGGTTTGGACTTTGGCTCTCATATTGCCATTATATGTATGCATATGTATGCTTCCATGTGATATGTGTGCATATGTATATATCTATGTGTTGTGTGTACATGTGAGTATGTGTGTAAGTGTGTGTGTGATGTGTGTATATGTAGGTCTGTCTTCTCTCCTCCAAAGCCCTGCCCTCCATAGGGTTTAATATCTCTCCTCACACCCGACTCTTTCTCACAGAACCTGCCCCCCCTTTCCTGGGAAGACACGGGATTGCGGGCACTCTTCCCAAGCCCCAGGGATGCTCTCTGATTCTCACTTGTCAGCCAGCCCTCGGTGCCCACAGCAACTGCATTGTGTGGAACTAACTCACATCATTCTCCGTGGCAGTGGATTTGCCCTGATTATGTCATTCTTCTGCTAAACATCGTTAGTGCCCCCACATTAGATTGAAACCCAGATTTCTTAGTCCTAAAGGCCCGTTGTGGCCCAGGCTCTGCCCACGTCTGATTAGTTCCCTACAGGAGCATTCTGCTCCAGACAACCCATACCCCCGTTGAGCCAGGCTGCACTCAATGCCTTCATAGCTTTTCCTCGAATCTGTGAATGTCTTCTTTCCTTCATTTGTCTAACTTCGACTGACTTTCAATACAGCACCCAATATCACCTCTAAGAAGCCGTTCCTAACACCCAGTTTGATGGAGAGAGCATCTTCCAGCACAGGGATCCTGTCTTCCACTAGACTGAGGTCTCCTTGGAAGGGCAACCTTGTTCAATCATTGTCTTGCATCTCCAGCATCCAGCACAAGGCCTGGCGCAGCCCACAGTGAATGCTGATAGGATGGATGGATGAATGAATGCCTACTTCTGGAATCCTCAGTGGCCTGGATGTCAGGTATTTTAATCTAGGTGGGGAGGACATTAAGCGCCTGTCCTATTTTCACCTCCCTGACAAGATTGTTTGCCCCTGGAGGGCAGGAGTGGCCTGCAGCTCTTGGTAAACCTGGAGCCTGTGGACATACCAGGCACTGAGTCAATATTCATTGAGAGAAAAAGAAAGGAAGGAAGGAAGGAAGGAAGGAAAGAAGGAAGGAAGGAAAGAAAGAAGGAAGGAAGGAAGGAAGGAAGGAAGGAAGGAAGGAAGGAAGGAAGGAAGGAAGATAGCATAGGAAATATAGTCAACAATATTGTAATAAATATGGATGGTACCAGGTGGGTACTGGAAATATCAGGGGAAACACTTTGTACAGTATATGATTGTCTGACCACTCTGCTGTACACCTGAAACTAATACAAAATAATATTGGATGTAAACTGTGTTTGGGAAAGAAAATTTAAAGATAGAAAGAAGTAGAGAAGAGAGGGAGGGAGAGGAAGGACAGATTTGTTTCAGGATTTGTAACGCCACTGGTTCAAGTTTAGTGAGAATAAATGACTTTCCCATCCTCCCCAACTGTGGGTTTTCTGATCTAATTCTGGCAACTCCAAAATTTTATAGGGCCTGTTTGGTCCCCAAAGGGGGGAGATAATCGAGACTACATAGTTTTAGAAGTTTTTACATGGATGTCAGAAAGGTTTTCTGAATTATTGGTGTGGTTTGATTATCAAGATGACTGTGATATTAACATCTGACTGACTTACTCATGGTTTTAATTGCTCTCCATGATTAATTAGGACATTTCATTCCTCATAATCCCCCTGGATTATGGAAGAGTCACATAAAGTGAGGTGTGCTTTGCCCGGGCGAATCACAGCCTTCCTTATTTAATAGCTCTGCATCACTTCTTTTATTTTCTTTAGGAGAACAGTAGAGTTTGTGCTAGAACAGGTATTTGAATCCTGAGTTCTTTTCTTGTTAGTCTTGGAATTTGGAGCAAGTACGTGACCTTAATGCAGAATATGTGGGGCAATGAACACAATACAATTTACACACAGATGATGTATTATAGCATCCTATACCTGAAACCTATATAACCAATGCCACCCAATAAATCCAATCAAAAAACAGGATATAAAATAATACCAACCTCACAATTATTGGGTCAATATAGGAGAGAACTAAATTCCAACCCTGGGCTATGGAGTGGACATTTCTAATTGGGAGAAAAGATTAGGAAATGGAATCTGGAAATATAAACCACTCATTTGAGCATTTGAGAATGAATAGGGAGGAAAAAAGAGTCCTCCCCATTGCCCCTCCCTTAAAAAAGGATTTATTTACATTTGAAGACTGTGGATAGAGGGAGAAAACAATTATTTTACACATGTAAAATAATGGATGGTACTTTGCAAAGGGAATGAATAAAATGTTATTAAAAAGTTATTTTTGATCTTTGAAAGATCTTAATGGGTTTAATATTTTCATTTATTTGTTAATGTGGATAGATTGTCAAAGTAAAACTTTATTATCTCTTCAAGCCGTGAATAGTATATAAAGGTGATATTTTTATAAAATTTGATATATTTTCCAGAAATGTTTATAGCTATGCACCACTTTTTTAAATCCTCACCCATGGATATGCTTTTGGTGTGTTTTTTAAATTGATTTTAGAGAGAGAGGGAGAGAGAGAAAGAAACATTAAAGTGAGAAAGAAACATGTGAGAAACATCAATTGGTTGCCTCCCTGTGACCCAACCGGGGATTAAATCTGCAACCTTTTGGTGTATGGGATGATGCTCAGCCAACTGATCCACCTGGCCCGGGCCCAGTGCACCACTTTTAATGTGTATTAGAACAAACACCTTTTATCATTTATACTTTTAATGGATACTATTGCTTAGAATGAGGTAAAAGGAATAATATTTCAGTAATATACCTTTTAAAATAAATTTAGTGGCCGAAACCGGTTTGGCTCAGTGGATAGAGCGTCGGCCTGCGGACTGAGAGGTCCCAGGTTTGATCCCGGTCAGGGGCATGTACCTGGGTTGCGGGCATATCCCCAGTGGGAGATGTGCAGGAGGCAGCTGATGGATGTTTCTCTCTCATCGATGTTTCTAACTCTCTATCCCTCTCCCTTCCTCTCTGTAAAAAATCAATAAAATATATTAAAAAAATAAATAAATAAATAAAATAAATTTAGTGAAGGAAAAAAAAGAGTGAGTTGATCTAGAGAAACGTGTTAAATAATAATACAGGTGGTACATGGAATATGGGAAAAACTGAAGGAGGGAAGTGAATGACTGAGGTTTCCAAAACCCTCGACTACAACACGGGCCCTGCTGTTTTCCTTTGGAGGTTCCAGATACCCCCTTGGGAAATCAGATTGTGGTGCAGGAGTCCTACCCCATGCTCACCTGTGGGCAGGGGAAGGTTCAGAAGCCCAGCTCTCTCCCTGCTGAGATGGGCGCTGGACCTGAGGGAGATGGCCATTCAGGAGCTGACAGGTGGAATCCTGGTGTTATCACTCGCTAGCCATGGGCCCACACATCATGTTACTCAACCTTCTGAAACTATTTATGTGTAGAATGGATTTCCTTTGCCTATGTTATGTGGATGTCATAAGGATTAAACAAGGTCTATTATTAAGAAAAACTGCTGAACAATAGTAGGTATTTAATTAAATGATGGTGAACTGAGTGTATTTAAATTAGAGTGTAGACATTGGGTAGTAGTTCAGAGTGGGGCTTCATAATTGAAAAATAATTAAAATGGAAAGAGCTGAAAAAACTAATGCATTTCTTTTTGATGTGTTTCTTAAAATGAAAAACAAACAAGCAAAAGTGGGCCTTCATCCAGGGGCACACAATTTATAAGGTTCAGAATTATAGTCAAAAGGATGATGATCTTATGGGAAAATGTCAGGTGTCCATGAGGGGTTGAGGGTGGAGAATTGACCAAAGGAATGTTTCAGGGGCAGATTTTCTCCAGTGGGTTTGCCTTCCCCTTCCCGGTGGTTGATGTTGAATTAAGGGTCTGGCTAGCCTTGTCCCCTTTGTCCAATTCTCTTCTATGCTCTTCTCTGAGGCACTCATTCAGTACTTAGTGCTTTTGTTACTAATGACAGCAACTACTGTTTGTTGGGCACACACTGTGTGCCAAGCACTATGTTAATTGCTCTCCACCTGTTACTTCATTTAACCTCATCACCGCCCAGCCGGAGTGGCTCAGTTGGTTGAGCATCGTCCTGTATACTGAAAGGCTGCCGATTCCATTCCTGTCAGGGCACATACCTAGGTTGCAGGTTCGATCCCTTGTTGGAGCACTTACAGAAGGCAACTGATTGGTCTCTCTCTCTCTCTCTCTCTCTCTCTCTCTCTCTCTCTCTCTCTCTCTCTCTCTTCTTCCTTCCCTTCTTCCTTCCCTCCCTTCCTCCCTCCCTTTCTCTCTCTAAGCATGTCCTTGGGAGAGGATTTAAAAAATAAAATAAAACCCTGAGCACCTGTGGGACTAGTATTGCATTTTATAGATGACAGAAGTGAGGTCTGAGGAGCTTAAAGAACTTGCCCAAAGTGATATGCTCAGAAGTAAATGAGCCAGGGTTACAGCCAGGTCTGTCTGGCTCCCATCTCCATCCTTATGAAACTCTGTTATCCCGTGCGATACAATTCTGCACCAGCGTCAGTGTCAGCAGATGTTTTCTGAGAGCTGTCTAGCTGTCACACAATCGTATAGACCAGTGGTTCTCAACCTTCCCAATGCCGCGACCCTTTAATATAGTTTCTCATGTTGTGGTGACCCCCAACCATAAAATTATTTTCGTTGCTACTTCATAACTGTAATTTTGCTACTCTTATGAATCGTAATGTAAATATCTGATATGCAGGATGTATTTTCATTGTTACAAATTGAACATAATTAAAGCATAGTGATTAATCACAAAAACAATATGTAATTATATATGTATTTTCCGATGGTCTTAGGCGACCCCTGTGAAAGGGTCGTGCGACCTCCAAAGGGGTCGCGACCCACAGGTTGAGAACCGCTGGTATAGACAGAGACTCGCATGCACACACACAGACATTCCCCTGCCTTTGTGAAACGCATTCTAGCCCAGTGGGGACAAGGACTGGGCTTTATGTAAATGCTGGGCAGATCACTCCACACTATCTGACCTCAGCTTCCTCATCTACACTGTGAGAGGTCTGGAATGGCTCATCTCCAAAGTTCCCCCTCGCTTTGGTAGGACTGTGAACTCCATGAGGGAAGAACTAGTGTTTCCAAAATCCTAGAGTTCCTCGCACAAAAATGCTGACAGCCTGACTGGCCCCTTGTTTGGTGGATCTTCTCACATTGAGGCCACTGGCATTGGGTTGAGGGAGCATGTAGAGAGTTCAGCCCAAGACAACTTTGGGTCCGAAGGTCACTTTGCTGGTTTGGTCCATCAGTCTTGGGGATCTTCCAGATCGAGCTCTCGGAGGAACCCTAAGAAACTGAAATTAAAGCTGGTGTATTAAGCTTCCATAATAGAATAGGGGAGACTGTTGGGCCTCCCGTCAGCAGGGGAAGCCCAGGCTTTCGGACTCCCAGTTACTCTTGCTTTGGGTTGAATGTAAAGGAGGTTCCCCACCACGCGTGGTATTACCTGTTCCAAGAAGCCTCTTCCAACACTAGGTTATGTGACTCCTTCCTGAGCCCTTATAACATTCTGGGCTTATTATTTAAGGAAAAATAATCATTTTCATAATATATTTACAATATATATTAGTGTAGGTTTTCCTCACTGGACTAAGAACTCCTTGAGGGTAGAACCGAAACTTCTAGATCATCAGACCTCTAGTACTTAGTCCGGTGTCCATCATGCAGTGGTGTCCTATAAGTGTGGGTTAAACAAACTGATGGGGGACATCATAACCAAGGATGTATCTGCGTTTGGTCCCAGGAGAATGTTATTTCATTGGAAGAGGAGCTTGCCCTGGTGAGGAAGTCATCCAGCCCTGCTTGGGAGCCCATCCTGGTGCCACTACCATCATTATCATCACCACTTACGACTAGGCTACAGACAGGACATATAAGAGTAGATGCCACACTTAACCCAGGCCTTTTTCAGCGTAGCATTAGGTCTTGGAAACCTAATACAATCCAGAGGAAGGCACCAGGAAGACACAAGAGCAGGGTAACATTAATTGCTGCTAATGGTGCCTAATTCCCCAGTGAATCAAACATGAGACAATAGAGGTGCTTCAGCCAAACCCTTGGCTGATGGAAATGGAATTAGCCTGGTTCAAGTCCAAATTATTTGTTGTCTTTGCTGGAATGAGTCTCAGAAATGCCACAGAGTTCCAGAGATGCCACGGCTGTTGTGTTTACTCTGTTTGGACAGGCCATTAGAGGCACAACGATTGTTTTTCTTTTAAATAAATTGTTTTCTGATTCCTGAGCCTGGCAGAACAGGATAAGTGTCCCTCAGCAGGGCTCGGTGTCTGTGGGGGTGTTGGGCCAGGTGTGGCTGGTGAGGCCTTCTTCCACCACTGGGATATGGCCTCACACTCCTACTGGGTGACCTCTCCACCGGGGTCCCCATTTTACCCTTGAGGAAATGGAGGCAGAAAGAAGCCATGCAATTACTTGGGGTCTCAAGCCCTAAGTGACAGATCCTTTACACAGGTGGGGAGGCTAAGTCAGTCCATGTATCCTCTTAGTACTCCAATCAGCACATATAAAACAGTCAATAAATGCTAGCATTATTCTGGGGCTATTGGTGATGATTAGGGCCAGAGAATTATGGTTACCTTTACTCTTACTACCCTCAGATGGTGATGGAGCTCATGTCTGGGGCGTTCATTTTGCTTCTGTTAACAAAATGGTAAGGAAACTGGCATGTCAAGCCTTGGTTGAACAATCTACCCTATTCTGTTCTATAGCCACAGACCACATTCTTAAACTTTGAGGGGACATAGGTTGTCATAATTAGCAACCCGGTGTCTATACACACATAACATAAATGCAAATATAGTTAAATGCAAATATGGATGCATAGAAATTCCCACTTGTGCTGGAGCAGAAGCAGGTGGGGGAGGAGCTGAGTTATGCTGGGCGCCCAGGAAAGAGACTGATGGGGGGCCCGGTACCTGAGACTTGAAGGTGAGAGATCTTGGGTTGAGCTGTTGGCGTGTTGGAGGCGGACTAAAGAGGAATTGCCTTCTGACCCAGCAAATTCTACAGGGGCCAGGAGGAAATGGCACCCAGGCCCTCACAACATTTACTCTGGGATGGAAGCTGGAGATAGACATGAGGAAGGCACACTTCTCTCCGCCCCACCCCTCCAGGATCCCCCATTATTGCACAGAGGATGGACATTAGAACAATGATTGCACTACAGGTTGGCACACAAGGACATACAAAGTGTGGTGGGGTCCTTATAGAGTTTGAGCCCAGAATATGTCAGAGGGACTATGAGGGTGGGGGAGGAATTCGAGGCAGAGGAAAGAGCAGGCACGAAGGCCTGGGTGTGACGCAGCAGGACACCTACAGGCCACTGCAGGATCCTGCAGGACAGCTCTTAGGGAGGGCACATGCCTGGGTGGAGAGCAAGGCAAGTCGTATCACGGAGGGGGCGGAAAGCCATATTTAGGAGTTTTGACTTTTACCTTCAAGGATACAAACAGCCACCAAGGACTTTTAGGAAAGAAAGAAGCATGATTATATCTTAAATTTCCAAACCAAGCTGTCTCTTCCAATATTGGCATCCCAGCGAAAAGCTGAATGAGGTGGCAGTGGGCTTGTCAGAGAGAGAGCACAGTGGAGCTGGGGACCAGGCAGGGCTGGCGGGGGCCCCAGGAAGTGATGACCGGGTTTGACTGGTGACCTTGGCCTGTCTGACCATGTCCTGTGGAACAAACAAATCCTTGAATGCCTTTGTCCTGACGAGCACAGAGCTGCTTCACTTAATCCTTAAACTAACTTGTGATTTTGGCATTGCTTCTCCCATCGTGCAGCTGAGTAAATGAAGGCGCAGGGTGGCTGAGGAGGTGCCTCCGGCCGGGCAGGTGTGAGTGCGTGTTCATGTGGAGCCCTGAGGGGTCCAGGCCCCGGCTTGGTCCTCATCCTCGAGGGCCAGGGGAAGGGAGTGGAGCTTATGACGCCCAGTTTCCCCTGGAGCATCTCCTTGGGCAGCTGCGGAATGCTCATTCTCATACCCATTCGGTGTCTGCTGAGGAGGAGGGTGTGGGGAGGCCCAGGAAGCCTGTGTGTTTCCAGGCTCCCTGTCCCCCAGGGCGGAGGCAGCAGGGTGGACCCCCAGGTTGGTAGGGAGATGAGGGGCCCATGGCTTTCATCACAAGGGAAAGCCTAGATCAGCACATATCCATCTCTCCTTCTGGAAAAACCGCTCCCAGGACATGCCTGACTGCCAGTAACACTCAGCAGTTGGGCAACCTGGCCCCTCAGGGGCTGCCTTTCTTCTGCAGTTTCCGTGATGAGAAAAAAAAAAGGGATTTCTTAACCACTCAGCTGTAGGAATCAATGGGTGGAGGGGACTATGGTGAAATGGGGTCCAGCCCCACCCCACCCTGCAGGGCTGCCTGCTGTAGCAGGACCCTGGGTCTTGGGAACTCTGTAGGCAGCCGCACCTCTGGGGTTCGGAGAGTGGGATGCCTTCTACCCGAATTCTTTGGTTCTTCTGATACCTTAACTTATCCCATACAGTGTGCCAGCCACCTTGATGAGGGTTTTACAACTGGACCTGATTTTGTCTCCTCAATAACCCTGAGAAGTAGGTACTGATTTATTTATTTATTTAATATATATTTTTTTATTTCAGAGAGGGAGAAAGAGAGAGATGATGAGAGAATCACTGATCGGCTGCCACCTGCATGCTCCCTATTGGGGATTGAGCCTGCAACCTGGGCATATGCCCTTGACCAGAATTGAATCTGGAGCCCTTCAGTCTGTAGCTCTATCCACTGAGCCAAACCGGCTAGGGCAGTACTGATTTCTTTATTTGCCGGATAACAATATATGATGCACATTACCATGAATGTCCATCTGATGCCATGTCCATTGCCATTCAATGAACACAGGTGCAGTTCTGGATGCTGGGAAGACAGCAGAGAACGTGGCCACGCGGATCTGGTGCAGGATCTAATGGCATAATGGGCATCAGTGTATTTGATAGACCAGAAAGTGCCACATGTCTCCAGGGCAGTGGTCAGCAAACTCATTAGTCAACAGAGCCAAAAATCAATAGTACAATGATTGAAATTTCTTTTGAGAGCCAAAATTTTTAAACTTAAACTATATAGGTAGGTACATTGTTATTAACTTAATTACGGTACTCCTAAGGCTTAGGAAGAGCCACACTCAAGGGCTAAAGAGCCGCATGTGGCTCGCGAGCCGCAGTTTGCTGACCACGGCTCTAGGGCCATCCTGGCAGGAGTAAAGGCTCAGTACACTTCAAAAGTTGGATGACATTACCCCATGTGGTTTAGGAAACCTGTCACTTGTGACTGCCCCACCACAGGTCTTAAATCAGATGACTGGGGATCTGGGCCTTCAGACAGAACACTACTGGTTGCCCAATTTTCACAAGCTGTGTGGGTTCACCCCCCTCACCCCATTCAGCTCCTTCCACAGTGCCCTTCCTGGGCTGGGAGGATGCTTAGCAAAGGAAGGCCAGGTCCCTGCAGCCCCTCATCCTGGGGTGAGACTGAGGACTGGCCCCATCTCCTTGGTGCTGAGAAGCAGCCCATGGGGAGAGCTGGGGTATTCATGACTTAAGTTGGAATTCACTGGTTTGTGTCTGTGATGAATGGTTATCTTTGTTTCTTGTGATGCTTTAGTCAAAAACTGTTTATTATTATTTGTTTACTAATATACCGTCCTCGAACCCATAGCAAAGGCTGCTGATGTTACAAGATTTATGAAATAGAAACAGAAAACCAGAACCAAAGAAAGGATGACAGATCAGATACAGGAAACAAACAGTTTCATTTTTTATTTTTTAAATATATTTTATTGATTTTTTTACAGAGAGGAAGGGAGAGAGAAGCATCAATCAGCTGCCTCCTGCACATCCCCTACTGGGGATGTGCCTGCAACCAAGGTACATGTCCTTGACCAGAATCGAACCTGGGACCCTTTAGTCCCCAGGCCAACGCTCTATCCAGTGAGCCAAACCGGCTAGGGCTCTTTTTTATTTTTAAATATACTTTTAATGATTTCAGAGAAGAAGGGAGAGGGAGAGAGGGATAGAAACATCAATGATGAGAAAGAATCATTGATCAGCTGCCTCTTGCACACCCCCCACTGGGGATCAAGCCCACAACCCGGGCATGTGCCCTTGACCGGAATCGAAACTAGGACCCTTTAGTCCGCAGGCCGATGCTCTATCCACTGAGCCAAACCGGTTAGGGCTTCTTTATCATTTTAAAACAATGAACAAAGTATATGTAACCTTCTATTACAAAGAACATTTTGCATGCTTACTTAGAACATTTTGTAAAATATAGAATACATCAATGTAAAATAAAATAAGCCTGTGGGCCTAAGTTACACTGGTGTTTATTTTTGAGCATGTAATTCTGTATTTATTATTTTAAAGAGCCACTTAACAATAACATAATTCTTCTATACCATGTTTTAATGATTGAATAATATTCCATTGCACGGATATACCTCAATTTATTTAATCAGTGTTCTATTGCTGATGGTTTACATTATTGCCTTTTCCCTGCTTTCATACAGTTGTTGCAGTAAGTGTCCTTATATATCTAAGTTCTTCAACATTGCCCATCGTTTTTTTAGGGTAAATTCCTAGAAGCAGGATCCCGGGGTCACAGCACGTCCATATGTTTTATGCACAGGCAAGGACACAGGTTCTGGAATGAGACCACGTAGGACTGACACCCTTGGCCATCAGCCAGCCGCATGGCCTTGGAGGGCCTGGCAGGCCCGTGGCTTCCTCCCTGGTGAGTTGGAATACTAACAACCTCCTTTACTGGGTTGGTTGCTATGCGATGCATATGGCTCAATACATGGTAAGCCCTTAGATCCTGGCCTGTGCACAGTGAGCACAAAACTCTCAGCTATTATTATTGTTGTTATCATTGCCAACTTGTCCTCCTGAAAGAGTGTCCCAATTTAACTCCCACAAGCATTGTATGAGCGTTTATTTCCACACACCTTTGTCAATACTGGGTGTTATCATTCCTTATTATTTCATTGTTTGCCAATCTGATAGGCTTTAATTTTACTGCTTTAATTACTAGTGATAAGCATTTTTTGATGTCTTCATTCATTAGTAAATTTTCTGTTCATGCTTTCCCCCCCCCCTGTTTTAGTGGGGTACAAGACTTCTTATGGATTTCTTTAATATAGTAAGGTCTTCAATTTTCTTTCTATCTATGGACATGAAAATTGTATTTTTCCTTGTTGCTCTTGCCTGTGCTATACACTGAAAAGCCTACCATGAGATGTTACCTATATTTTTGCAATTTTTAATTTTTTTAATAATTTTTTACTTTTACCTTTAGACTTTTAATAAAATTAATTTGTAATTTTAATAGTTAACTTCCCCACTTTAAAAAATTATTTGTCAATTAATTACGATAGACTAAATTCTATATTCTTGGTTGGTTTCTTGGCTGTTTCCTCTGTTCCATTAATCTCTATGTCTTTTTCTATGCTTGTGTTTTAAATTCTTATTGCTTTATAAAACACTTTGATGTCTATCAGTACAAGTCCCCTTCCACTAATTTTTTGGGGGGAAATATTTTCTTGGCTATTATCATTTGACTATTTGTATAAATAAACTGGAATAATTTTGTCACTTCTAAGAAGAATACTTATTTTGATTAGAATTTCATTCGTTTTATAAATTAATTTGGGGAGAATTGGTATTTTTCCTGCTTTTGCATTTTCCTGCTTAGAAACATGAAAGCTATTTCTTATTTAATCAAGAAATTTTAAAGTAAACTTTTAATTTTAGAATAGTTTTAGATTCACAGAAAAGTTGCAAAATAGTAAAATAGTATAGCATTGCTATGTACCCTGCACTCAGTTTTTCCCATTGTTAACATCTTACCTTATTGTAGTATATTTGTCACAATTAATGAACCAGTATTGGCCTATATTATTAACTAATGTCCATACTTTATTTGGATTTAATTGTTGTTTTTTTCCAACATCCTTTTTCCATCCCAGTGTCCTGTTCAGGATGCCACATTAGTTGCTATGTCTCCTTGGGCCTGTCTAGATTATGACAGCTTCTCAGAATTTGCTCGTTTTTGTTAAACTTGACCATGTTGAGGAGTGCTGGTTAGGTATTTTGTAGTTTGTCTGATGTTTCTTCACCTTTATTTCACAAACTGTGAAAACAGATTAGAATTGACATTGTTTTTTAGGTCATGGTAACTAAGACAAAAAGGAGTCTTCCCCCCTTTCTCCTCCTCCTCCTCCTCCTCCTTCTCCTTATAAAGAAACTAGAAGCCCAGTGCACGAATTTGTGCACAGGTGGGTCCCTCTGGGTGGCCTCTGGGGATCAGGCTGAAACCCACATTCTACCTTCCATTCACGCTCATCCCGGCCCCACTGCACATGCCGTGGGCTCGTGCCCAATCAGTCCCAATAGGGAGAGCATCTGGCGCCCTCCCGAGGGTAGTGGCCTGTGAGATAGGCCGAAACCGGCTCTCCAACATCCCCTGAGAGGTCTCAGATTGTGAGAGGGTACAGGCCAGGCCAAGGGACCCAACCGGGGCACGATCGGGGCCAGGGAGGGAACACGGGAGGGCTCCAGGGCGTGTCCAGCCCATCTCGCTCAGTCCTGATCGGCTGGACCCCAGCAGCAAGCTAACCTACCAGTCGAAGCATCTGCCCCCTGGTGGTCAGCACACATCATAGCAACTGATTGACCCGTCAACTGCCCCCTGGTGGTCAGTGCACATCATAGCAAGCAGTTGAATGGCCTTAGCCTATCATTAGCATATTACACTTTGATTGGTTGAACAGTTGACCGGTCACTGGACGACCGGACACTTAGCACATTAGGCTTTTATTATATAGGATGTCTATTTTGGAGACCTTACAAAAGAGGCATTGGGTGACATGGAGCACCCATTCTTCATCGAGAGAGTAGTAACATACAAATACAGGGTCTCATGGGTCCCTTTCTTCAAGACCTGTATAAAATCTCAGGTCAGCACATGAAGTGTGGGCCCAAGGGAGGTCATTTTTTGAGCAGTTAGGTAACACATTTGACAAGTCTTACACTTGCCTAGCTTGTCCCCCAGCTACAACCTAGAGGAGAAGAGCAGTTAGATAGCAACTTCCTCAGACGACCAGTGTTTAGGAACAAAGTCAAGCTGCTGGGCTCCAAATGCCAGCTCCATCTCCTCACTAGTGCTCTACGTGGACATCTCTGAACCATGGAGTCCTCATCTCAGGTGGAGAAAATGACAGCCCCTGCGTAGAGAGCCATGGTATGGATCAGATGAGATGGCACACCATAACCGAGTGACAGTGTTGGCTATGGTCACCATGTTTTTCTCTTGGGTGAGCCTCCCCATGGGTTCTGGACCTCTAAGGTCAGAAGCTACACTCTCAGATACATACTTGAGGAACTGGTGAATGTATTTGGAAACCAGATGAGTAGGGCGCAGGCTTGATGATTTATGATGAAAATTGAGATGTCAAACCAGTGCTTAAACCTACATGAAAGCCTATCTGTATGGAAAGGCTGAGTTTTCTTGATGAAGCAACTGAGGGTTCTAACCCTTATAAAGATCCTTGGCTGAGTCCCCAGTCTTCGGTTCCACGGTACAAGCAGAATTTATTTTGTCCTGGAAACAAAAGTTTGATCTCAGAAATCCCTTAGCAAGGCCCTCCTGGACCTGAGCCAACTGGCCTCTCTCAGGACCCCTGTTTTGAATCAGCTGCAGAATTGTCTCCCATCACCATCCCTTCACCAACCCCTTCTAGGATGATGCATAAGTTTGCTTCATGGAATTACTGAGTCAACTGAATTTTGGAGAAAATCTGCCAAAGATGACCACTTTCAGTAATGATCAATTCATAATTTGATCCTTTTAGTCTCAGGTAATAATTAGATTCCAGGACCTAGTCCCTTGAGGCTTTACCTGAATCACAATATAGAACTACATCACCCAGTTCCAATTCTGCATGGCCTGAAGGCATACATTCATTACATCCATAAATGTTAATACATTGTTAGTGTAATTATGAGGGGGATGCTATAACATTGCCATATTTATGAACACTTGTAAATAGCCTACACCTGAAATGTGGCAGTTATATAGAGATTTGAACGTTGCCCAACATTAAGGACTCAGCACTTAACCCTCGTCTTCTTGAGTGCCTGAGCTCATGGCGGGTTTTGACCAGCAGAGACTGAATCCTGTTTGTGTTTTTGGGTTTATGCCTGGGTTTGGAGTCACCGTATTGAGTCTTCGAGTCTTTGATGTTCGGAACTTTATGAGCTGGATGAAAGCTTTGTGGGCACATATTTCACTATCTTCATCTCATAAACCAGGACACTGAGAACACGAGTGACTTCCACATAAGTTATAAGTCCCAGGAATTAAAGATTAAGCTGAAGCTAGGGTCTGGGGTCCAATTTTTTTCAAGTCCCACAGCTCAGCTATCCCTTTTGTGAATTCACTTCCTCACCCACCTGGGCAGAGTTGCTCTCCCCCTCCTGTGGCCACCTTTATAAGCTAGACATTTTTCTAACATGGTATTTCTTTCATCATAGTATATATTTTTTTCTGTTTCTTGTGTTTGCCTCTTCTGGCTGACTTTGAGCCCCTTAGGGCATCACCTTTGTCTTATTCATTTTTGAATTCCTAGGGCTCAATGCCAGGCCCAGAAGGCTCCCATTGGATGCGTATAAAATGAATGAACAGACGGACAGGCCATGCCAGTTTCACCAGTAATCTGCATTTATATTTAGCTGCCAAGCATTCTTTATACCCAGATTTGCCACGAGGTAGCAGTGTGGAGCTGGGGACTCAGGCCTTCCTATCTTGGGACCTTGTACCTGGGTGTTCTGGCTGAAGTCCCCCATTATTTCATCTGTGTAGGGGTGGTTTTTCACTCTAGAGTCCTTCCTGCCTCCTGCCTAGAGCAAGTAGATGCCAGAAGGGACCAGAAAGGATATCAACTACAGTCCCATCCTTTCACAGACAAGGGGGTTGAATGGACTTCATGTCCCCGGTTCTTGTGCCTGTCCAGGAGCAGAACCCAGAGGGCAGGCAGGTGGGTTCTGACAACTTGATTCATATAAAGCTGAAACGAAGTGATCCTTTTATACTATTGAGACCATGGGTGGAATAGTCATGGAGACTCGCCCACTTTTGGCTTTAGCAACAGCTGGGACTAATGAGCACTAAGGTGGATTTGTCACCTGGATATTTTAGTAGAAGCAATGATAATTGTTAACTGGACCTCCTTCTTGCTGCCTCACATCCGGCCCCTCCTCACAGCCTGTCAAAAAACACCTTGCACAACTGTCCTCTTTTTCCAGATGCACTTGGGGCAACTCTTTGCATGAGTCAGCTCCACTGAGTGGTGTCATCACGCAAGTGGATGTGTCCTCAGCAGTGTCACCTGGGGTCTGGGGAGCTGGGGACGAGGGTGGGGCACTGAAGTGTGGTGGCCCTGATGAGGACTTTACCGGGGATGTGGGAACACAGGACAGGCCCACATTCCTGGAAGTCTGGCATCATCCCAAGTTCTTGACCCCCACCCCACCCCTGACTCCAAAATTCTTGCATTAAAATTGGGTCAAGGTAAATACAGGTGATGGTGTTGGTGGTAGGAATATGAAGCTGCAATGATGTAAGAATTGGGAAGGTCAGAATCAATGTTTTAACCCCAGCCTGAGTTAGCCTTCAGTCAAGTATTCAGTATATGGGTGGAAAAACACTTGCCTTGTTTTGGATGGGCCTCTTAAAAGATGTATACGAAGTTTGTCAGATTTTGTTTGTTTTCAACCACATCTTCTTAAAGACCACAGTTTGGAGGGAATGAGGATGAAGGTGGGTGAGATGGATATTCTAAAACTTTGTAGGAACATTAGCAGGTTGGGGGCTTCTGAGGCTAAGATTGGGGCTCTTTTCCTTGCCCCTCAAACAGGGGGTGGCCTTAGGGCCAGAACTGTGTGTTCCCACTCGCTCTAGAGGCCCCAGAGGGTTGGGTCTCCCTGAGATTAGCTGTGCCCCATCTCCAAGGGGGGTCCTGATGGTAAGGACTGGATCGCCAGACAGGATGAGTCCTCCAACACCAGATGAAATCTATGGCCACTCAGGCTTTAGACTAAGGACCCTGTGATGGACAAAAATGGTGGAGGTGCATTACCAATGGGCAAAACTGTCACTTCCCTCTGCCTCTGTGGTCAGTAGGAACTGTGGGTCAGGCTCAGGCAGTAGGCCAAGGGCAAAGGAACAACATTGGTCCCAGCACCCAGAGCCAGCTGCACCAGGCCTGAGGGAGGGCCAGTGCTGTGTGTGTGTGTGTGTGTGTGTGTGTGTGTGTGTGTGTGTTTTATATGCATGTGCATGTTGTATGTGTTTGTGCACATGTGTGTATATGTGTGTGGTGTGTGTCCTGGAGTGGCACATGGGCGGAGCCTGCAAACCTCATACATGTGTGAGGCTCTAGAGGGTGAGGAGGAGGAGGTGCCCCTGTTCCAGGAGGACAATGTGGGGCAGAGAGGTGGGTTGGGTGGGGTGAACTCTGTGGTGCAGGCCCACGTGGCATCTGACGATGGCCTGAAGCACGGGAACCATTTGGACCTGATTCAACCGCTGGTGTTAAAGGCTCAGGCGGGGCTGCCTTTGTACCTGGGCACAGAGTTCTGGATCCACCCATGGAAGCCCTATAAATGGGAGCCCAGGCTTCAGTGCTGGCTTCTCCCTTCTCAGCCCTGCATCTGCTCTCCAGCCGGCCCACATCTGACACCTGCAGCCAGACATCCGTGCGCAGCTTGGGAGGCCATGGAAGCCCTCTCTGAAGAATTAGCATGTGAGCTGAGATCTAAATAATGAGGCAGCCAGACCCAGTGTTTTAATGTATGTTTTCTTTGATTTTTAGAGAGAGAGGAAGGGAGAGGGAGAGAGAGATA